TTAACATATGAGGAGAACAAAGAGAGAAGAGAATATGTAAAAGGCAATGTGCAGCTAAGTTGGAGCGATTAACTTTAGACAGCCGGCAACAACACTTATTTGTGACAGGAAGGAATAAAAGAAATTCTTGGAGAACCGAGTAGAAATGTTACATCAGAATTATGATTATTTTTTATGGCATGCCGAAGACGTGTCAATTGGTTCAGAGTATAACACAGCTTGAAGCTATCGCCTCTGGGCGGAAAAGCAATGCTGTTTATTGACCTAATGCACTCGTCACCGTGTTCTCATTTTCTTCCCCTGGTTGTCACTGACGTCTACTCCGTACGTAAGGAGTGGCCCGAAAGTTAACAGACCTGTCGGCTGTCGCCCCCAAAACATGCTATCTTCTGACTTTTTTAGATAACGTGCTATCTTGTGACTAGGATAATCTGGCCCACAGCTCCATGGAGTACGTTCCTTGTCACAGCTCACAGCCATGTCGATCGCTTGAGAGTTCTGTTGACACGCGGCTGTGGATAAGTGTAATCAATTAGCCGCACTAGCTCTGGTCTTCAACTTTAACTAACCTGTCGTAGACTATAGTTTGTCTCCTTAAGCAGATTCTCCATCCATCCCAAAATATTTGTCATTTTCGTTTCTCGAGAAACAATTTTAACAAAATACTCTTTCCGTTCTAAATTATAAGTCGTTTTGATTTTTTTTGTTTATCCATTTTGCTATGTATCTAGACATATTATTATATCTAGATGCACAATAAAATGGATGTACCAAAAAAGTCAAAACGAGTTATAATTTCAAACGGATGGAGTATATATATTAAAAAATATGAATATTTATGGTACATAATTGGTATTATTGGAAAGATTTTGAATCTAGTTTTTTAATAAATTTATTTGAAGATACAAATGTTGCACGTATTTTCTATAAATCGAGCCAAATTTGCGGCACGAAAACCAAAAGTGACAGATAATTTGGGACAGAGGGGGAGTAAGACTCATGTTGTCAGCCAGCCAGAGAATGGAATGTATATTGTATTCTTCTCTTCCATTACCTGATCTGAGTATTTCAGTCCTTTTTATTTGACTCGCTACACTTTGAAAAACTTGAATATGGGCTGGACGACGCTGATGGGTGGCAGCCCCATTCTTATCGTTTTTCGTCGTTGATCTTGGTTCGTTTTCTTGGGATTCCGTGGGCGTATTCCGTGATGCTCTTCGGCTGAAACGTTTGGGGGTTCTATGCTATTGTGTGCATAGCACGAGGCTCCGCTCAACCGAAGTACCCAACCAAAAATGCTGAACCTGTTCGTGAATGACACAATTAGTACCAACTGTCGAAAAAAACATTTGGGGTATGTCATGTGCGGGAAAACGTACACGCGGCGTCGCCGTGCCCGCGACGTGCGCAGGGTCGCGGAGCGCGCTGCACAGGCGCGGCAGGAGATCGACGAACCGGTCAAGATCGACACCAGTGGCTAGAAATCGGCATGATTAGAACCTATTTTGGTTGCTTGTTTTCAGGAGCCATTGGCTCAGCAGTTGTGGCCGCAGGCCTTATAATTGTGTAACCAAAACGTTGAAGGGTTAAGAAAGATCAATTACCCAAACTCTCTCTTCCTCCCCCTTGTGTTCTCAAGCCCAGAAGCCGAGAGGGGCATAACCTCCGTTCTGGAAGACACGGCACGAGACTACGAGCTACGTAGTCGAGGGCCAGCTATCCTAGATCACCAGACCCTTGACAACCTGGCTGTGGTTTGAACATCATGTTACGCCAATTTTGCTATTTAGGACGTTTGATTTCACCAGGCACAGTTTGCTAATCGTAAGAATAAGAATCGATTAAAGTATATTCATCTAATTAGTCAACTAAATTTTAATTCATACCTAAACTAACTACTACTTCCCTCCATCCAAAAAAAGAGAAAATATCACTTCTCGAGAAATGAAATTGTTTCAAGTTTCATCAAATATATATACAAAAAATACTAAAGTTTATGAGCGTAATAAATATGATTAGATTAATCATGTACTATATTTTTATAATAAATCTATTTGAAGATATAAAAATTGATAGTACCATTTTTTATAAACAAACCTAGTTAAATTTGTGAGTGGTTGACTCCTCGAGAAGAGATGTTTTTATTCTTTTTTTTAGAGACAGAGGGAGTAGTTGACAAACGGAAGCTAAAGTCTACTAATAATTGCTAATAGTTCACGTATTCAAGAGCACCCAATAAATTTTAGTCACCTACATATTTTTTAGTCATATAAAATTAGTTTTAGTAACTAGTGAATTGACAACTATGTTTATTCTATCCGATCAAATTAGGTTCTAAGAGCATCTCTATCGTATGTGCTTTCGCCTTTTCTTTAAAGTTTCTATATAGAAGATTCAGAAACAATGTTAAAGGAGAGTGCTACTACAACAGGGTGAGGAAATTCATTCTCTTTATTAAAGTAGGATCCACTTCTCAACCAATAACTCTTTTTTCTCTTTCCTCTTCCTTTCCCTCTCGGGGTCTCACATGTGCGGAGACCAGCACGTGTGGTGTCCCGGGCTCCAGACGCAGCTGCGTGGCCGACCCGTGCCCTCACCTGCGTGGTGACGTGGCCGGCTCCCGCCCTCATCCTCGGTAGCCATTTACTAGCACTGTAGATGCTGGGATAGATCTACTGGTCGTGAGTCGAGAGAAGGGGATTGAAAAAAAATCTACTGGTACTTATTTTTCTACCAAATCTCTGTTATGTTGGAAAAAGAGAATGAGTTTTCTCAATACTGTAGAGATGCTCTAAGGTGAACATGACATGATTAGACACTGCCAACTCATTTTGTAAAAGGTGTGGCTCAAAAGCGAAGATTGGACCATAGATTAGTGGTCGAGGTGGACAGGACTAGGCCAGCTGAGTCAGCTCTGCACAAGAGGGCATCTGCGTGGAGATCGTTAAGACCAAACCTCCACAATTCTTTGGTGTCCTCAAGGGCGCTTTAGTTACCTCCCTTTCTTGTGTTGTTTCTCACTTTAGGCAAGTTGTTTGTTCCACTCTTAGATTATCTTATGATTCTTCAGGGTTAGAGCAAATACTCTATAATACTGTACATTATCTATTTCTCCTTTTAGGAAAGGAAAGATATTTTGGTCAAAAAGGGTGAACATCGTCGCATGTATTTTTCCCTTGTAGAATAGCGCTTTTTAGAATTGCAGCGCCACACGTACCAGATCGCAGCTTGCCAGTTTTATAACTTGTGCTGCCAAAAAGTAGTTTCTACTAGTGGTTTATTACTATACATACTCCTATATACTACCGGTTTGTTAGTATTCGGACATCCGAACGCACAGGGCGTCTGGATGACCACACCTGTAAACTTTTTTCGTGCCGTTTCGCACACCAAGTGGAGCGTGTGCCACCCGAACGTCACCAGCATCGAGAAGAGGGAGGGGGGGCACGGATGCCCAGACGACGAGACGAGGCAGCAGAAGACGATGAGGGAGATGCAACACCCAATCCATTTTTGAAAATTCAGATACAACACTTGCAATATATATCTGAAGGCAGATGAAACATTTACAAAAAAACAGCTAAAAACACTTGAAACCACGGCAAAAACATACGCAACATCCAGATACAATACTTGCAACATATGTGTGAAATATATGAAACATCCAAATAAACATCCTTGCAACATACATCTAGAAAATAGAACAGAAGATTGCAACATACGTGTAAAACCATTACAACATATGCAACACTCCCATCTACTTTTGCAACATCCACTTGAAACACTTGCAACATACTTATATGAAATATCTGAAACACTTGAAACATAGGCTTGCAACATGTGTTTTTCACCCTTCTTCTGTACGACGTAGCGCAGAGCGGGGGAACGGCGGTTCCCGCTAGCCGGTGGTCGAGGATGGTGGACGACGGCCGATGGGAGGTCGCGTCGACCAAATCGGTGACGGACTAGGCGCCGAAGTTGCCGAGGATGGAGGATGACGACCACAAAGCGCGGACGGAGACAAGGAAGATGAGCGCGCGAACAGGAGGATGACAACGCCTATGGGGGAGATGGGAGGTCGCGTTGGCGGGGTGGATGTGGCGGCGGACCTCCCGATCCGGCCGATGGGAAGTCGTGTCGGCCAGGCCGCCGGCGAATCGGGTGCCGGAGCTACGGAGGATGGAGGATGATGACCACGAAGCACGATTGGAGGCGGGGAAGACGAGCGTGGTGGAGTCAGGCATGGAAGTCGAGCATGGTGCAGTCGAGCGCGGTGGATTAGTCCGTGATGAGACGTCCGTATGGACAGACGCCGTGACTGAAGCGTTACCCTACTTAAAAAGGAAAAAAACTAAACACGGCTGCCGTTCCAGCCAGGTTATTTCTCCCGCAGATAAACCCCTGTGCCTGTTGCAGGGCGCAGCATTAGCCGATAACCACGCGCAGTGCAGGCGATAGGGATGCCACGCACCCTCGCCGCGAAGGTCAATCGAGAAATTCGAAACTCGAAAGGGAGACGCTCTCTCCAGCAGGCAGGAAATAAAAAAGGGACAGAAAAAAGCGTGTGGCCCTGCTTCGTCCCCGGGCCCCGTCCCCAGTGTTGAGCAAGCAGCACAGCAGCTGCTCTGCATCAGGTCGTCCAAGCGCGCACGCGGATTCCAAAGCCGCGCGAGCCGAAACGGGAAAACCATGTGGCGGCCTTATCCTCTCCGGGGGCAGGCAGATGATGATAATGCCGAATCCATAGCATTACTTGCGCATAAATAAACAAGAGTACAGACCGGCCTCTCCTTTTTATCTCCTCCTCTCGCGCGCGTCCGCTGACTCCTCCCGTCGCGTTCTTATCCACCCAATCCGGCCGCACCCATTTATATACCTGCCGTCCCTGCCTCCTTCCGCCACACCGTGTCACAACGCTGCGTTGGCCTGCTCTGATCGTTGCTTGCGTTTCGTCTCTCGTCTCGTCTCATCGGTTGAGACTTTCTTCGGGAAGGAAGATCATGGAGGCCTACTTCTTGTTCCACAGCAGCGGGAGGGCGCACGCGGCGGCGCTCGAGGCCGCGTGCGCGGAGCAGGAGGAGGACATCGGCTCGCCGTCGGACTCCGAGTCCCCGTCCACGTCGAGGGAGTCCGCGGGCTCCTCCTCGTGGGAGCTCGACGACGACGCCAGCTCCTCCTCCGGCTCGGACCCGGACCGCTTCGAGATGTCCGCGCTCATGACGCAGCTCCCCTTCAAGCGGGGCCTGTCCAGGTTCTTCGACGGCAAGTCGCAGTCCTTCGCCTCGCTCGCCGCCGTGGGCTCCCTGGAGGACCTGCCCAAGCCGGCGGCGCGGAAGCGCCTCAAGCCGTCGCGGAGCTGCGGCGGCGCCCTCGACGCGCACAACCGCGGGCGCCTCCTCTCGCCGCGCAGGCATTGCACCAAGCCCAAGCCCGCCACCAGGAAGCAGGCGGCCGCGAGGAGCGGCGCCTTGTCGGTGCTCGCGGCCGTCGCGCCCAGGATGCCTCCGCCGCCGCCGGTGATGGCGAGGCCTGAGGGCGTGGCCGCCAAGGTTCTGATCGTTAATTGACACGAAAATAACTGTAGCGACTGAAAAAGTTACTGTTTACGGATGAATTTGTGAGAGAATATGGTTCGGAATGAAAAAAGAAACGACTGTGAAAAGTTACTGTTACTGTTTACGGATGAATTTGTGAGATAAAAACATGCTTCGGAATGAAGAAAAAAAAATGCCGATCGTATGGTGTCAGCCGAACGCAGCCATTGACGCACACGACACGCCTTGATGGGGTGCGCTGTCGCAGGCACAGCTACGCACCGCCGCATCCCACCCCTGCCTGAACTAACAGCCAAATCAATGGCATGCTCATATTCTGTTCAGTTTGTTTTTGTTTTCCAATGCGTTTGTGATCGCTGTAGACTGACTTCTTTGTAATGAAAATCCACAGTTCAATTAGAATGGACTTCAGCTGGAAACTCACATGTCTTGTGCATCAATCGCATTCCCTAGGGTACTGTGAGAGCTAAATTTCTTAAAACAGAATTGTGATTTCTGGCTCTTATCACGCGCTCCACTTGGACTGAAAACTTTGGAATGTAAAGAACCACGATCGCATAGCTTCTATTCGGGAATAATGAGCACAAATATCAGGAAAAAAAAAGTTTACGCGGATATTGCTAGTTTGCTACTGGGAAAAAAACTGGAACCTATACAAGATCACCTGAACCTTTTTAGCATGAAAACCGGAAACTTGAAAATACTCCACCAAATAAATGAAAACACTGAATGTGCCTCTCGTTCGAAGTTGCAGCTAAACAGTACTAACAGTTTGTGTCATAAATCTGATAAGTGGATATAAAAAATTGCAAGTCTTTCAGATTTCCTCTCCATGATACAACACACAGGTAACTCTATACAACTTTCAGACTACAATTCAGAATAGAAACAAGGCCTGAGTGGATAACCAGAATAGAAACAAGGCCTGAGTGGATAATAGTTATCCACTCCGAGAGCGGCGGTGCCTTCCGCAGTGCAGCAGCACACAGGAATACAGAAGTCAAAGTTCATCTTGAGAAGCTGTTAAGTTTAGGATCCATCTTCATAGGTTCTGGTGGAAAGCAATGGTTCTTGAACCAAGTTCAAAAACCAAACACTTCCATCCAAGTATGATCTGATGTGCAGGTAAGGATCTGAGAGACATGGAACCAAGTTCATACAGCACGGTACTCAATAAACAGAATCAACTTCTGAACCAACACGGCTTGTGAACCATATACTGGCTTTCTCCCTTCACTGATCCAGTTCTTCTCCAAGCTGGATGATTTTGCATTAGCTCGCAGGTCATCGATGAATGCTGAAACTATCTGATAAACAGAAGTCCGAAGAACATCAGCCATGGTATAAGCTTTCTTGTGCAGGCCACCTTTTTGTGTGCTTGCAATTGCAACTCCAGTGCTTTTTCGTCCTGTGGAGAAGTTAGCCCACCTAATGTTTTCAGGACCCAGTGAGTGGACAGGCTGTGGGTTTGTTTTCTTTCCTAAACATGTCTCAATTGCTACTAGGGCAGACAGCAACGTTGTCATCACAGCAGCATTGCAGCCAGTGAGTTGAGCAACACCATATCGATCCTCCTGGCGTGAGCGCGCAGTTAATCCTGCCAATGTCCGAGCACACCATGTGCATATCTACAGCAAAGACGCACAAAAATAATTTACCATTAGGCATTAGTACACAAAAGCAGCCTCAAGTATATGGGAAACAATCAACTATCAAATACAGCCCATAACCTCAAACAAAAAAAAAAAGCATGTTCAACACTAATGCTAACATCTGCAATGTTGCATTCATCACAGTATAAATAAAGTGCATTTTCAAAATTACCAAATCAAGATTTTTTTATTGGTATGAATTATCTTCTAATATAAAACAAAGGATTCTAACTAGATGAGTGCTTGCCATCAACAGATAATGTTTTACAAGGATTCACTCAGTTCTGGGCACATACTACTACTAGTATGAATTTAACCTTTATTACAACCACAAACATAAACGTGAATCCACCATACTATTTACAATTAAATAAACAGAGATTTTCTTCAGTTATGTAATAGAATAGAAGTCCAAAAAGGTTCTTTTTATTTGCCAGAATTCAACTAATGATTCAGGTCCAAATTAACCAAAATATGCCAAAAAAAGCTATTGGTTTTAACATGATAAAAAGCAACATCGTAATATGGCCAAACAATTGATTTGATCAGGTTAGATACTTAAGGATCAAAATATACACTATAGGTAACTATTCAGTGGGGTCCAGTGTACAAAACTGAATACACGGACTTCTCACAAGTCATCCATGTACATTGTACTAAATCTTTATGCATACCTCGAGGTTCAACTAAATCGGACTAAATGACTAATAAACCAGTATCAAGTTACATTATACCCAAATGCAAGGTTCACTAAAGACACCCTCTTAACTATAAATATTTTATCAAGAATGAAGAATTGCATGTACAAATAATTTAACAGCGGGTTATCAAAGTTGGTCCTATAAGGGACTGCGTAGACAAACAAGAATAACAGTAGAAAGCCCACGGCCAAAAATGCAACAACAGAGGTAATTATATACATAATGTAGCATTACCTGGGAATCATCAAATGCACTAAAGAGTTTGGACTGTTGTAGCATCGATTCTGGCTTATCACTAGAAAAACCTTCAAGGGCTTCAGCAATTTTTGAAGTAAACTCCTCAAGTGGCTTCAAACAAGCTGTCACAATTCTTTTATAAGTTTCACCAGATTCTTCAAAGAAAGCAGCACTGCGCCACGGTTCCAAGTTACACTCAGATACCACACATAAATCTTGGTAAGCAAGATATTGTATCAATGATCGTGGATCACTTTGTTCCAAAGTTTCCAGGATAAATTCAGTTGGATTAGTCTCTGCAGCAGCAGTGCTCTGAGGTGGAGCAAAACTGCACCTCCTTGTATGTACAACCTGAATTTGTTGGAAGGGGAATTGGTTACATACCAACATAATCAAGTTAGTCAAGCTCCAAAGACTGAAGACTCGGAACACAAAGAAGAACAGACCTGGACAAACTGATAGTTTATTTCCAAACAGAAGCCAATACCAGCAGTCACTATTAAAATGCTGATCTCAGTAAGTATTTGGCTTCCACCAGAACCTCCCTTTCTGAATTGCCAAGGAAGAAAGAAAACTAGGAAATGGGAAATGAGGAAGGTCTGGATTGATAACTTTAGAGCTCTGTTTCCAGATGGTAGGAGAACCATCTTCAATCCATAGAATAGAGGTCGCTGCACACAAAGGAAGTGAAAATTAAGACAACTGGACAACTACTTAAATGATGGGAGGGGAAAAAGCTAAGGTTACAAGTTACTACTCGCTCAAACAAATAAAATAAATGATGATTAAGAAAGTCATTTCTTAATTTCCAATTAGATGACACTTTTGGGATAAAAATTACCAAACAGACTTATCAAAGAATTACTAATTCTGTAAGTTCATCAAGCCACGAATAGCCATCATGTATCAGTTATCAATTCACTGCATTAGAGCAGATCTAAGTGGGGAAACACACCCAGGCAACATAAAGATAAGGAATATCAACTGTATGGATGCAAATTTGATCATAGCAACTCCTGGAAGAAGTGCAAGCCTATGATAGACTGCCAGAACAAGTTTAACAAATCCTGGCTCAAAATTTCTAATCTTATATAAACAGCACACTGTTTATCTCCCGGCCGCCTTTGTGACATCTTCTTCACCAGTGTTATAAGACAGAGTAGGCACGCCCACACCCATCTGATCCATTTTCAGTTCATACCCCCATCTGATCAGTCTTCAGTTCATACCCCCATCTGATCAGTTTTCAGTTCATACCCTCATCTTATCAGTTTCCAGTTCACACGTGAATCGAAAATAAATTGTAGAGGAAGCTGTCGAGCACAACAGCAACTAGGAAGCACACAAGAGCAAAAGAATAACAGTCAATGCTTGTGCTCATTCAACAACAGAAGTCAATAGTACCAACCTAAGTGGGTAATCCAAAAGCACACCAAAGTGACGCCTAAGCATGAACTTCCAACCTCTATTAATGCAATAGTATTGTGTGGAAATTTACAGCTCATCTGGAATTTCAGAACACTCAAAACTCTTCTCTGTATGAGAAAGCACAATTTTCCCCAATCTACTCACCTGCACGACGGGGAACTGGAGCAACCACCTCCGACGGCCAAAATAGTGCCCGGCGAAGATGGACCCAAGCACGGCGCCTCGGAACCCGAGCCAAGCGACGGCCTCCCACCCGGCGTCCTCGGGTAGCATCGCCGCCGCGGCGCCCACGCAGAGCGTGCCGGCCGCGGCGAGGAGGGCGGTCGCGAGCGCGCTCCGCGGCAGCGGGGGAGGCCGCGGGTGCGGGGACTTGGTGAGGAGGAGCGCGAGCGCGAGGAGCCCCGTGGCGGCGCAAGCGAGGAACGGCTCGAGCGCGAGGAGGAGGCCGGTGGGGATGCCGAGGAGCGGGTGGCGGCGGCCGCGCAGGGACACCGCGAGGTGGAGCGCCGAAGCGGCGGCCGAGACCGCGGCCTGGAAGGCGAAGACGGCGAGCCATCGCTGGCCGACGGCGTCGCGGGGCGCGCCGCGCGGCGGGGCACGGTCCATGGCGGCGACGGCGGCGGGTGGCGAGGGTTTTGGAAGGTTTTGAATCTCTCGAGTTCTTTTTTCCCCCGTTCCCCTCACGGACTGGGGTCTGGGCCTATGGGGGTTCTGCGTGTTTGAACGGGAAGAACACGCTGGGGCAGGCGTGTCCGTGCGAGCGTGGCGGTCTGGGGTGAGGTGTTGTGATAGCTGATAGCTCCTCCCATCGTAGCTTAATCGTTAAGCTAAATAGTGATGACTCGAGGGCGGGTTTGATACAGCTTATAAGCTGCTTATGACCAAAATAAGTGGAAATTAACAGTCAAACGCTACGTTTTTCAGCAGCTTATTCTGGCCACGCTTATTCTCACAGCTCTCATTTGCACTAAAAAGCAGAAGCTGGATCAGACCAGCTTATTTTGACCGTCGCTTTTACTCTATTTGTACAGTTTATCTGAGAAGCGCTTTCCAGATAAGCTATACCAAACAGAGCCTTATATATTTTTTCTCTACACTCTCTTCTCTTCTCTACACCTTAAAAAAAAACTCTAAAGTAATATCTATCTGTGATACCAAAAACCATGTACTATCCCATCACAAAGACTACACTGTCCTGTCACGAAAACTACCAAATTCGTATACTCAAGTTGACAAACGTGTACAGAGTCCGTGTTGAAACCAATTCTGAGCTCATGTCGAGGTCAGTCGACAGTCTCGTCGGGACGGTCGGCAACCTCACATCTCTTCTCTGCGCCTAAAATGGCTCCGGAGAATCGTCCACGGTAAATCTTCGGTTAAAAAAAACGAAAAAAAGGAAACATCCACTATTACGCGTTAGGCGGTACCGAGGAAACTGCTGGCCCCACCTCGTTCAAAGTATTCTCTTGCATGCACGCTCCGTAAGGGCCTGTTTGGTTATCCAGTACCTGCACTAGTTTTAGTCCACTTTAACTAAAAGTAAATTAAAGTGGTGTTTGGTTTTTGAAATTAAAATAGACTAACGTTATTAAATGATGTGGAAGAAAGACCCCTTTACCCACTCTTTTACCCTTCTCCCCACCAGCCTGCTACCCCTGTCCATGTTTCTGGCACCACTCTGTTCCCCTCCCCATCCTTCTTCCCCTTCATCCCAATCCTTCCAAAATGTCCACGGATCCAGAGATTAGCGCTTTCTTGGTGAAGATCCCGGCTTTGGGCTAGCCGAGATGGAGTTCCTGGCGTCCATCATCGACACAGTGTTCCCGCCGCTCAAGGACTACGTCGCGCGGACCGTCAGCTACACCATGTCCTGCGGCGACTACATCGACATGTTGGTTTGACCATGCTCAAGGATGACGTCCAGCGCATGGTCGCCGCCGCCCTCAAGGAGAAGGCCGACTTCCATAAGGTCACCGACGAGCTCGTGCAGCTGCGCTTCGAGGAGGCGGAGGTCTAGATCCCGGTCTCGTCCCCGCGCGCACACCGACGAGCTGGCGACGGCGGCTACGGGGCGGGGCTCCTTGGCGGTGGAGAGGTGGAGCACCATGGCCAGCACCTCCATCACGCGGCCGGGCGGGAGGGCGGCGGTGGCGGAGGGAGCCGGGTGGTAGGGCGGCGGCGGGCACGGCCGACGGGCGGGACGGAGGCGGGGAGCAGGGCGGGAGGGAGGCCGGCAGTGGGAGGAAGGGCGGTTGGGGGCCGGGCGGGAGGGAGTCGGGTGGGAGAGAGAGGGCAATAAATGAGGGGCATGGGTGTCCCCAAAAACTTTTAGTCAATTTTAGTCCAGTTTTGTGAACTAAAGGATTAAAGGACTTTAGTCCACTTTTAGTCCAAGTATTTGACTGTTTAGTCCAACTAAAATAAAGATTTTAGTCCAAAATACTTAGTGCATGTCCGAGCCTGTTACTCTCGTGCGCGGTCGGAGAAAATCGAGGAAACCCCTCTGTTCTCGTTTGAAAGCACAGAAGTACCCACACCACGCACAGGCCACAGCCGCGTTACCAGGCGTGGTTTCTGTGGATCAAAACCTGACTTGGGTACGGCGTTTGATTGCTGAGACTCTGCATGTCCAAACTCCAAAGCCTTTTGAGTTGAAGCAACGGCAACATAGCATGTGAGTTCGTGGCCAAGATATTTTTCATCACGTCGCGTCTGTTACTATTGGAGATTTGTTCCACATGATTACACATCGCCCGTGAGCACTCAGGTCTTGTTTGTGGAGTGTCATGGTAAGCTTGAGTCTTTGAATTAACGAGGGCTGAATGGGTTGTTCGTACTGCCATGGAAACGGGGTCTCCACGGAAATAGCTGCTCGTCCACGCCGACTCCATCGCGGCTCATTGCAGAAAATTACGGAAACAAAAAAAAAGTAGTCTCATCGTTGCAACCACCACCACACAAGCCTCCATCATCGATCGACGATCCAATCTGTCGACAGATACGTTTATAGTTTTCGTTTAGGGCTTACAATGTCATCGTCTACCTGACGATACAAAGTCTCAATCCCTGCTCACAAGTACACGTCCCATACGAATCACCCTCCATTCAAAGCTTACGTGTCCGCGTCCTATCTAATTATAATACGAAGATGATCCATGTGTCCGTGTTCGATATAATAATAATAATTTTCTACAAATTAGCTGACATAGGTGTCAACAAAAATCTCATGCTCCCGGTGCAACGCACGGACATTTATCTAGTATAATAAAAAAATATGACTAGACGGATACTCGGAACCAAATTCTGAAGCACAAGAATTCCACAAATCTTTTTGTCAGGGATGATTCGTGAATTAAAACTAGCATATTACCTGTGCTTTCAACGGGACGTGAACAGCATACAACTCAAAGATTTATTCAACTATTTAGAAAGGTCCGCAAAAGCTTTGCCGAATTATATTAGTAGGAGATTTATTCAACTATCACGTCGTGCGTTCTCATTCATTTTAGAATAACTTTGTAGCATGCATGAACACGCTCTACTCAAATTCATATAGTTATAGGAGCAATGGAGATTTATTTAATAATTATATTATGCATTTCATTTTATCTTGAGATTGGACTCTTACTGCCTTTTCATTTTATATTAGGAAAGATATCCCAACCATGTTTTTTCCATACTCGAAAATAAAGACCAAACAAACAATCGAGAGATTCAAAACCTTCCAAGATAACAAACTCTTGCTATTTCCACAATGCAAACCTCAATGAAAATAGCAAGACACATGTACAGGAAAAAACACTTGATTATTGCTTAATGGTTTGATTTGTTTGGTTTGAGGCAAATCGAAGTAACGGCTAAACCTCAATAGGAGGACTTAAGCACAAAAACTCATCAAGCACTACAATGGTGGTAAAATAATCTATCTGTCGAAAGCTAAAGTTATAAATTCAATTCTCTATTTTAACGTTAAAATTTCATGTTTCGTCTTTATTATTCCCTCCTCTACTTCAGGGAGAAGAGGATATAGAAAAGAACCAAAAGAAAAAAAAGAGATGGGACAGTAAAAAAAGAGAGAAACGGATGAAGAGAGGGATCAAAAAAGAAAATACAGGAAATAAGAGAAAATAAGAAGACCGGTCGGAAGAAAAAGAAATAAGACTCAGAAAGGAACTCGTCACTCTTTACTTTTAGGGAAAGGTAAAAACTAATAATTATATAGTCCAAAGAAACTCAAATCAATAGTAGTTTCTCTGGCAAAAAAGAATATAATTCTCATTTTGAGAAGTTAAATAATTTTAATTTTAACCACCTCTATATAAAAAGGTATTAACATTTGAGAATTTTTATATCAAATAAGTATCATTGATTATAAAATATATTTTCTTAGTATGTATTTGGAGACACAAATGTTAACATTTTCTCTAATAAAATAGGGGCATGTTTGGTTCTTTAGTCCTTGACTAGGTAGCCTGTCCGTGCGTTGCTATGGGACAGCTGAACTTTTGCATTAAAAACACACGGATCGCATAATATACAATCACATAAACAAAACGTACTTTGATATACTTTGTGTTTTTTATGCCAATTGATTGGAGTAGTCATTCAGACTGTTGCACCCACAATTTCTTTACATCTTTTTATTTATCTCTTTGTGTGCGCTTACTCAGACTATGTTTCACCCACCGTCGGTTCATTTGTTGCTTCAATATGCTCTTGAGTTTGGGTGTTGCATCATAGCTCATTTGTTAAATTCCTCCTATGGAAATTTTTATATGTCCATACATTACAATGAAAAAAGCACCATGACAATTAAAGTTTAAACATGTGTTGTATCATTAGAGCACGATCTAACATTATGTTTATAGCCAAAACTATTACTCATCACGCATGAACAATTAGCACAAAGCACGAAATCATGGTGAACCTGTCACTCAAAACAAAAAAGATCCACACAAGATTCTTGTTATCTTGTACGTATTCTCATAAAGTAGTACAAGCACAGATTTGCAATATTTTTCAATAAATTATTCAGATCAAACAATATTAACGCAATCAAATTATTCTTCTTTCCAGAACCAATTCTCTATTGAGGTAATTAATGATTAGAAAGAAAAAAAAGATGACGACTCTCAAAAATTAGTGTGCAACAAGAATCAATGAATATTGGCTCCAGATCTTGAGGCTGTGGCCCGATTTTCTTCTGTGCTTCAAGTGCTGAGGCTGTTCGTGGCTGCCATCATATGGGACCTAGGGAGCCCACAGTCAATATCCCTTTTCAGTTAATAAAGCTTCAATTTCAACAATGTTGACCAGCTTCAAACTCTAAACTGATCGAGCCCAGCTCCTCCTTGACGTCGTCAAACCTCACCATTACCACTGGAACCTGATAACTTACAATGCTCTAAACATAAGCAAAGTGAAAAACAAGTGCTTACCTTGTAGAAGCGTTGCACCATAGCAAATGCAGGTAAGCAACTGATCTAGATAACTTTATCTGAAACAACAAACTGAAACAATTAAGAAGATGCCAAGAGAGAAAAAGATGTCCAAAGCCTAAAACAAAAGCTTCATCACTGGCTTTGCTGTCGCCGACGAGCATCCGGCCACCCTCGTTGTTAATCATTTTCACTGAAGCATTGATAGCCTGCAACATCCATGTATGGTCCAAAGGTCAACATCAACGACGACCTCCCAAATGTGCAAAGAACGTGAACAACAACTTACTCCCACGGCATGTCAAAGAGCAGCTTGGTGATGAGCTTGAAGTTTTAGTAGCTGAGGTAGTAGATAGATACACGACGGCCAACATATCTGAGCACCTTTCGGTTGCCCTTCTTCTCTGATCACTGCTGAATCGCTTGTTTTCTTCATGCAAAAGCAGTTAATCTTTGGAGTGGTCACCGCAAAGAAGAACCATAATATTCACTTCCGAGCCTGGACAACCACTCCACAACTGCACAACCAATGTCGGAAGCCTGGATGAACTAACATTCACCTACACAATTTAATAATAGCAATTCAGTTGGCCAAAAATTAAGGGGATTAAGTTACCTGTAGAACATCACTTGCAAATAAATTCCAGCTGAGCTTTATAATCGTCTTCAATGAGTGGTAATTTTGTTCTAATCCCACAAACTAACATTTACCTACACAATTCAATGAGAGCAATTCAGTTGGCCAAAAATTAAGGGGATTAAGTTACCTGTAGAACATTACTTGCAAACAAATTCCGACTGAGCTTTATAATTATCGTCAATGAGTGGTACTTTTGTTTTCATCCCACACAACATAAAAATAAGTGAGGTGACTGCTCCCTGCAAGGATTCTGTAAAAACAAATGATCCATGTTTCTGACTGTTTGTGGCAGTAAAAATGGTCCAAGCCTAACAGTGTTTCCAGTTTTATACTTCAAGGTACAAATCAGTACTATATAATATAATTTTGTCCTTTGTATATATATAATGTTGGTTGTAGTTAATTATTATACATAACTAAGTAAAAGGATTTTTTGAGTGTTGTAGGGATTACTGATTTTAAGGTGACAACAACAAATAAGCTTCAAGTGCTTTAACTATTTGTGCTCCTTTTCAAACATACTGTAAGAGTAACAAACGTTGTCATAATCAGTTGTGCATGAATCAAAGCATCTGACACTTTTGTATTTAAAAAATCCTAGTGCTGAGAAAGTTTTTTAGTTTTGTTAAAATATTGTCCGACCACCTTAGTGAGGCATAGGCCGACACTCTGTCCACTGCAGTGGACAAGCGCTCGTTGCCGTGTACAAAGGCTAGGGTGCAGAGTAACGCTGGTCACAGGCCGGATTTTGTTACATTGATTAACCTCCACTTCAGCAAGACGAGCAAGCTACATAGATCAGATCAAAGTTTAAGAAAAAATAGGTAGTAATTTAATTTTGAAATACTAACACTCTAACACTATGTTTAGGAAATATGCAAAAACCAGTAGCGTTAAAAAAAGCCATGCCCTGGCTGGGGCCATATATGTCATATGTGC